AAATCTTGTAAGTAGAACTGATTTTGAATTATTTTCTTAATAAATCTTAACAAACTTTGTTTTTTTTGCAGCAGCAGCTTCTTCAAAAGATATTTATCCTTTGTACATAAATGACTTAAATACGATGCAAACCAAGCGTACGCGCATTTTTTTGGATTCTTGGACTAAGGACCCCGCGTTCAAAGGCTGGTTTTGTAAACACTTGAGGTTCGAGGCTTACTGTAATGTTTGCAATTGCACATTAAAAGCCAAATCAGGAAGAGCTGATCTATTCCAACAGGCATGGTCGCAAAAGCTCCAAAAAATCTGTAGCAGCATAAAAGGCCAGAAAAAAGTTGGCGACTTTTTTAAGACTTTATTGAAAATGTAATGAACGCAAAAAAGGCTGAAATATTGCTATGTTTCTTCTTAGCATAACGTAATTTAGCATTTTCGACAACCGACCACCTAACCAAATGTCTACAAGAGAAAAAAAAAATATTAAAAATCAACACAATTCTTTAGCAACTTAAAACTTGCACATTATTACCCTGGAAAATAATGGGCTATCAAACTGTATACTCAAAAAAATTCTTAAAAATCAGAATAAAAAGTTGAAAATCTAGCTGAAACTGCACAAATTAAAGGTGGATTTATATTTTGTTTGTTATATAATGAGCTAGGCTTTCATGGAAAAATAATAAACATTAAATAAACAAACGCAAAACAGCCACAACCGATCAAAATATTGATGACTTAATCAGCTGATCACAAGTGTATTTATAAAATGATTTTCATAATAACGATCTCAAACCAGTTTACAATGAATTTTAAATGTCCTCTGTCGAAATGACATTTTAATATACCTTACATATATACTTATGTACCTTTGTATACAATTAAAGTTTAATAAGAACAATTCTGTGTGCATACATTTGAAAAAGTCGTATTTGGGTAGGAAATGACGTTTTTTTCAGACCAAGAGGGAAGTTTTCTCATGCCGAAAACCTGGCAACACTGCAAATAGCAGCTATAACTTATTTCTTTCCCACAACATTTTTCATAAAAAACGACCCCAAGCTCTATAAAAATGTTGGATTCATTCTGAATGCTAATAACCTAGCCGTTAAAGCAGAACCACACACCCCTTAGAATTTCAACAAGATCAGGCCTAGGATCTTTAGGCCCGAACTATCTTGCGATGGTATGCATTCTGATTCTAATAATAGAAAGAGTATAGAAAGAGTATAGAAAGGATAATAAAATACAGAAAAATACAATCATAATTATTAAAGTATTTAATATTGCTTTAAATTTAACTAGAAACTAACAAATTGCAAAACATCGAAAACCATCGATATATCGATGTTTCTCTGGCGATATATTTTAGCCTCGATGTTCTTTTCTCCGATGCATCGAACCATCGATGTATCGATGTTAATGCTCAAAATTTGCATCCCTACCACGGCGACCACACAGACCACATTGCCTTTTATGTTGCCAGCAATGTTTCTCTGTCGTTGCTCCAGGAGCTTCCGGATAGCGACTTGAGGACCTTATTGCGGCTCTGTACTTTATTGAGAATTGCGGTTGTGTGCGCCGAGAAGGAGAATGGACTATCGAAGGTTACTCCCAGAATTTTCGGGTTATTCATCGTCGGAATTGGACGCCGTCGACGTGAATTCCCAGTTGTAATCTGACCTCCTTCGTCATGGGGGTTAAAAGGGTTGCCGAGGACTTTGTAAGGGAGAGGGTTAGGCTCCTTGCACTGAAGAAGTAGAAATGTTCGGAGAGGTAACCGTTCACTTTCGAGCACAAGTCATCAATTCCATTCCCAGACGCCATTATCGAGCAGTCGCCTGCATAAGAGACAATCTGGTGGTCGAGGGAGCCTTAAGGTATATTTCAGGAAGCTGTGTTCCTTTTTTGGAGCATGCTTGTCCTGAATCCGCACTCTTCATTCTAAAAATATGTAAAATTCAGCCACAAGAGCGCTAAAAACTGTTACAGTAATGAAAAATTTTAGTGTTCGGTTAATGAAATCGCTTTATTTTTCAATACTTTAAGTTTACTTAAGTTTAGTTTAAAGTTTAAGTCACCGGACACTTTGTCCTGTAACTGAAATATGCACTAATCTGGCATTCTATTAGCCGGACAGTTGAATCTAATAATTAAACATTAACTTTTTAGCAAAATTTATTTCACAAATGACTTTTACACTATTTTTCATCAAAACTTACCACTTCCGAACTTATACTTGGTTAAATTTGATTCTTAAATCTACTTTGCTTAAATGTATGTATGCATCACTAACGAAAAAATAAAAATTTGTATGTTTTCACACTTCTAAGCAAACGCATAAACTAATTGCGTTTCAGTTAAAGCTGTGAGGCATTTAAAATTAAATGATATATTCCAAGGCGAATTTATACAAGGTGGTGTTACTGGCGAATTTAGATTTTCGCCGCGGTACTTTTAATGTCAAAATGATGTGTTTGTTGTAATATGAATTCGCCTTGTTTACAACAAACACATCATTTTGAAATTAAGATGTACCGCGGCGAAAATTTAAATGCGCCAGTAACACCACCTTGTATAAATTCGCCTTGATATGTTCGGTCTCATTACAAATAACGGCCTCCTTCGATTTCAAATTTCCAAAATTCAAAATTGTCAACGGTTTTCTTATTTCAGGTCAACGGTTTTCTTGTGTCCGGCCTCGAGGTGGTGTCCGGTCACTAGCATAGTTACCCTATTTCCGCAAGTACGGGATCCAAATTGTTGAAAGTTGGAATGTGATGTAGAATTTTGTTATAAAATAAGACAGTTATGCAATTTTTGGAAAATGGGTCTGGCACCGTGTACTTATGATGAAATGCTTTTTCAATCAGACTAAAATTAAGTATACATATTTCAGAAATATAAAAACTCCGATAATCCAATTACTAAAGAAGCTACTTTCCAACTCCAACTTACAACAAGCTTTTAGCAAGAAACAAGAAGATGAATTTTTGGAAAATGAGCGTGGCGTGAGCGAGTGTACATCGATAAACATTTAAAGTTTTCCACTAAACTTGCTCGAACTACTTCAATATATCATAGCATATTATCAAACTCTCAGCCTCATTGCGTAAGTCGTAAATTAGGCTAAATTGTACGACTCGACAACATTGGCTTTGTCTAATGTCGTGCTGAAATAAGTAAACGACGAAAATCGTCGAAAACTATGCAGTGCTGCCAAGTTTTTCCGGTTTAATACACTAGTCGAGTCGAAAATATAGAAAATTACATGAAATTTTCGATCCGATTCGACTCTCAAAAAACGACTTGCATTCGACACGACTGTCGCAATGAGGCTGTCTTTGAATTCGATGTTTTGATGATTGCGGCAAGCACTTTAGTTATGATACGATTTGACGGAGTTGTGTTAAATCCGCTCTCTCTATGTTGGAAATAGTTTACCATAAATCTTCAAAGTACCTTTTGAACTCTAAAAAGCGGAGCTCCCTAAACTCGTTTTCAATCCTTGAGCGGTATGTTTGTTACTACGTTTATACGTAAGCTATTTGCAAATAAAAATAATTTGCAAATACCTAACTCACTGTTTATTCGATGGTGAAAAATTCTTTTTAATATTGCCTGATTATAAAAAGGCAATAAGATGACCATCGAAAAAGAAAATAAACCTAAGAATGGCGGCGTCTTGCGCTTATTTGCAAATAGTACCACTAATCAATACTTATTTGCGTGATTTAGTTATTTGCAAATAAAAAATTAACTCAGCGTTTATACGGCAAATTTTACCATTTTGCAAATTGTTATTTGCAAATAATACGTGCGTATAAATGCAGTATGTGAAAAGAATCGGCAAGTTCTGCTAGCCAGCATGTAATAAATGAATTTTGTTTTCCATAATTTGTTTCGGATCAATAAAAGTTCAATTTTGTATAATTATGTTATTATAAATAAACCGTTTTCTAATTTGATCACACAACTCAGTATTGAAAAGAACACAATCTTGTTCAAATATAATTATCTCATTCACAAAGATATTCAAAGTGAGCAGTTTATCTTCAACGTAACTTCCGACATAAATATACGCATTTTTCAATAAATTTAGACAATTATTATAATCTATTTATACAATCTAAGTTATCAGTGCTGCCAAGTAACAGAAATAAGATAATTCCATTTTTAAGTATTGTTAGAAGATTGACGAGACATGATTGCCTAAAATTTTGTATTTATTCATTGTATTTTGCTTAATGGTATTTATTTTGAATATATGTATGTAAATATAATCAGGGTATCCTTTCAAATTGTTACTTTGTTGCATAACATCGTCCAATCGTCATAGAGTCCAAAAATTTTCCAAGTGACGACGGCATCGTCCATCTGGCAACACTATTTGTATGTATGAACATATTAGGGATATCGAAAAAAATATCGATGCATTGAAAATATCGCTGCAATGAAATTTTTGTAATCGATTTATAAATGATCCCTCATCCTTCTTGATCGCATTCTTCAGAAGCCTCTCAAACCCTTAATCAGATGAGAATAAAATTAAAGGGCAAAGCGCTGCACAAACTCCTTCCTATTCCTACAAATGTATCGTAAGTTGATTTTTTAGCTGACATAGAGATTATACCTATTTGAATTGTTCTTTTTGCTTACATATATATTGGAACTAGTTTGTGCATATGTATGTACATATCGTCGTTTAAAGTACAATACCGCGTATCAACAAAATGTAAAACCGCGTATCAAGATAATGCAAAACCGCGTATGTGAGGTTGCATAAATTATTTTCTATTTAGAGATTAAAAACACTCATATTTCTAAGTGGTTCTCTTTTTATAAAGCAATCGCATTTCTGGCTAGTATATTTCAGGACGAATGGATAAGGATTGCGCCAAGAGCTTGTGTGAGCAAATCCAATTTTTGGCGGCAAATGTCAGTTACGCGGTTTTGCATAAATTGACGATACGCGGTTTTGTACTTTAAACGACGATATGTACTATTGTTTTAAATTGGTTTTGCTTTATTCTCATAGTGTATGAAAGCTCTGTGAATCGATGATGTCCTGCTAGTAGATACGTATGTATGTATGTACATATTCTTCTTATTCATTCTTAATATATTTTGAATTCCATTAAATTCGTCTACTTCCGGTGACGAGTTTATCGTTTCCGTTTCATATTGATAGTTATTTGTTGGTGTGGGCGTTTGGAAATCAAACTCCAATGAAACACCGTTTAGCAACTATTAAATGTTGCAGCACACATGTTTATATACACTGCGATACATAAACCACTTTATGTATAAAATATTTTTGCAGGCAAACAAATCGAGATTCCACGAATTTCACTTGAATAGCTGCGTGGATTTACATATGTATGCATGCATGTGTGCGTATTTTTTTGTTTTGTTTACACTTTGTTTTTGCACGATCTTGCCGTCGCAGGTAACGACGTCTCTGCAGATACACAGATGCAAACACACGCACCCAGGTGCAGACGTTGACGCAGAACTTCACACTAGTAAAAATGCATACAACAATAATGCGCGAGACAAAGAGAGCTAAGCACTGCTCTGGTGGTTTTTGTTGCTTTTGAAGAAAAATTTGCTTTTGCCCTTGCAACATCACCAGAAACATATTTTCGTGGGCATACGCACTCACAGTATTTAATTTTTTTTTTGGTTTGCGGCTGTTGGCGCTTTCATTACATTTTTCACTTTGCAAACACAAACACTCACAATTCTGCAGCATACAAACGCTTTTGTTTTCTGACTTTGTAAGCAACTTAACAAAACACTGCGTGCGATACGAGCGAAAAGTACCCCCATCCGTTCGCGTTCACGTTTCAAACACCAATAAATGTAAACAGCCGTAGCCGTGTTGGCCTGGGGTTAAAGAGTAGCTGGCAACTCTGCTTTCGCTCTTTCATCCGCTGTTTGACAGTTGAAAGAAATGGCAACACACCTTGGATGCTACCGAATGCAGCTCTGCTTTTTATCTATCAACGGAGAATATTCACGTTCTCTGCCTTCTGATAAATTTACGCTCACTGTTGGCTTGTGGATAGTATCTTTCTTATTTTGGCATGTTGCAGCGCCACCTGACGATGTGTTGACTCGAGTGTGAAAGTAGCTCATTGATTTGGTTTCGGAGTAAATACATTACTCCCAAAAGATGACGCAAAAGATTTTACCAATGACGTTGTGTCGTTAGCGCGACAGAGTTCGCCCAAATCGGTGCCCTGTGGCAGCACTTGCCACCCTCTGTTGGAATTGTACAGCAACGGAGAATTTATACCAGAGAACGTTTATAAATCATTTCTCATTTATAAACGTTCTCAGTAATTGCTGCCAGAAATTTTGGGGTGCAGTCGGCCAAATATACCACTCGTCGGCTGCCACCATACCAAAAATTATTCCGTGTCACCACACTTCGGCAAATTTACCATAGTTCAAAGCAAAAAATAAGAAGGAAACAGGTAAGAGGAACAGCAATATAATAAGCACTAAACAGAGGGGATGCTTGCGGAGGCGAGCGTGTAGCATAGTTTAAAGCAAAATTAAAAATAAAAACGAATAACAAAAGAGAAACAGAAATCTAATAAGTACTATCAGAGAACTTAGATAGATAGAGAAGGTGCAAATTTTTGGAACGTAAA